GCATTTCACCAGTTTAAACATTTCTTCCTCGTAGTTTTCCTGTTCGTGTATCTTGAAGTATTGTACAACTGTGTGGTTTGCAATGTGTTTTAGTTCTTGAATCTTTTTCTTGATAATTGACTTGTACAGGAACTTCTTAGGTGGAAAACTGATGGGGCTAGATTAAGATTATGTAGAGATGCCATAGAACTTCCAACTAAGCTTTTCTCTGGTTTGACACCCTGTGTGAGGTTGGCATCATCATGCAGAAGCCTCAGTCTAGTCTGTAATGGCCTTGGTTTCTTCTGTTTAATGACTTCATGCAATTTACTGCATTTAGTGGGAGAAATTCACCCAGCAGAATATCTTTACAATCCCAGAACTCATTTGCCATTGTTTTTCTTGCAGGTGGCTAAACTTTAAACTTTTAGGCAACTGGTGAATCATGGCGTTTCCATGTCAGTTTCTTTTTGACTCTAATGTGAACTCATAAACCTATGTTTCATCTCCTATAATGATGTTTATTATAAAAGGTTCTTCTTTTAATAACAATAAATAACCTTTACTTTCAGTGACAAAACTTTAATAATTCATTAAACAAATGCTTTTGACCTTACACATTTTTGGTTCTTCTTTTTGGTAACAGCAGAGATTTTGAACAAAGAATGGTCATTTCAAAGTGAAGTAACCATTCTTTGCTTTTGTGCTCTTCAGTGAGCAGTTTCGGAATCCAGCAACAAGCCACTTTACAAAATCTGAGGTGATGTCACAAACAATGATTTTTAGAATGCCTTATTTCAGCGATTTTATGAACTTTGACCCTTCTATCAAACCTTTGATAATGACACAACATTTATCAATGCTTGATGTCCTTTATCTGCCTGTGTTCTTCTGAATCATCAATTGGTGAAGTTTGGCCATATTTGAATTTATTACTGCTGAATTTGAAGGATGTAACTGAAAATTATTCCATTTTGTTTACTTGTCAAATTCAGTTCAATGGATAAAGGACAACAGTGTGTGTGTGGTTACTATTACTCTTTGCCACATAGCCATATTTGCCTGTGACATTGAGTTTGCACATACAAGTTATGTATAAGCAACACCTATACCTTGAATATCATACTGCCCTCATATAATAAAACTCCATTAATAAATACATAAATTTAAACATTGTAATGAATATTTTATATTTCTTAAGATGCCAGAAAAATTTTTTATCAAACAAAAAACAATATATATAATTTGAAATAAATATAAACTTGGATAATGCTTAATTAAAGTGAAGAGGAAGTGAATAAATAATTGAATATGTGAATGCTTAAAGCTTCAGACTCTGAAAAATAATCTTCGAATCTGACTGAACAGCATTATGTTGTACACTGTTCACATGGAAATGAGTTGAAAGTAAGAACTTAACATTAAGAATCATGTGAAAACATAACCACTAAATTAAACTAACATTTAAACTGAATAAATTGAATAAATGAATAGAACTAAATACAAACATGTGAAAATATTTTCTAAAAAGTCAAATGATAATTGATTTCCAGCATTTGGCAATGATGCAGCATCTTTCAAATTAACAATATTGTTAGAGGCCATTTTTAAAAATTCATAACTTTTTAGCTCTAGCAATATTTTCATCATGGTATACCATTTTAAGTCCCACCAGTGGCCAAGCGGTTCCATTTTCTGAACATTGGAAGTTGGTTGTGTGTTTGCACCTCACCAGGACAGGCTGGCCATGTGGAGTTTTCTGAGTTTTCTCCATGTCTGTAATGTCTGAATAGGGGCCAGTTATCTTTAAAAAGACTTCTCAGAAGACATCCCCCTTACGCAGATCACCCAAGTGTTGCATTGTCGTAACTTAATAAACAAACAAACAGTATACCATTTTAAATAAATATTTTCAAGGCTTTCCAGATCTCATTTGCAGATTTCAATAGTTTATTTAGAATAGCAATTTCTAGAACAAATAACATTCATTATGAATATTATAATTTCCAAATTTAATAATGTTCAAAAAGAGTTTGATTTTATCTAGAAAATCTTTCTAAATAAATTATTTGAAATCAGTAGAAGATCTGGAGATCCTTTAAAATATTTACTTAAATATCTTTTTGACTTATTAAAAAATATAAATATGATTTTTCTTGCAATAATTTAGATAAATATATAATTTTAAATATGTTACATAAAAAATTAATAAAAGAATGGTGCAAAATGAATATAAATAATAATAATTATATTGTATTAATTTCAGATGGAAAGGATTTCCGTATAACGTATTTCAGATAGGAATTAAAAGTTTAGCAGCTGGTATTTCCATTAGTCTGTCTACTGGGGCTTTCTTTTTACAGTTTTTAGATTGGTGGTATAGTCAAGATAACTCAGGATATTTTTCACAATTTCCTATTCCTCCACCTCCAGAAAAGGTAAATTAATTTTTTTATAATATAACTTTAGCTAAGTTATTTGATTATTTACTACATTTATTAATTGAGGCAGAGGCAGGTTTATGTACAAGCAGACTTATAGTTTGTAGGTCCCTGATTATAAAAGGATTCCAAAATTATTCCATGAATTTATAACTAATATCCTAGAAAAATATTTTTTGTTGTAAAGATATTTAAACTGTAGACCAGGGGACCTATTCTGAGCTCTTCCGATAACTCAAGGAGAGCGATACACGGGTCATTCGATAAGTTTCTTTAGCGAAAGGCAGTTAACGAACCTTACACAAATTGCTATTCTGAGCTCTACGTTAAGTGGGTTTTGCTACGGGTAGTCGGTCAAGATGCGTCTGGGTTCCACGCTATCGATAGCTATTACGCTTTAACCAATCACAGTTTAGTTAACATAGTATTTTTGTCACATGACTGCAACCCGCCATTTTCTAAGCGAAGCACGTGCTCATTGCATTGTCCTGTAGCAGCGTTAGTGAAGTAGTTTTTACTTTTGTTTTAAAATGTCTAAAAAAGCACAACGAAGCCAGCGAACCACAAGTCGCCAGTTCGAGATGCTTGTAAATTTTATGGAAGAACACCCTAAACTAATGTCGGGGAAATTAGATTCTTCGTTTACTGCAAAAGATCGCCAGAAATTGTGGCAAGAAATAGCGGCAAGAAATAGCCGACCGTTTGAATTCCGATGGAGTCGGCTCACAAAAAGATCCGGAAAAATGGCGAAAAGTAAGTGATAGTGATATATTTATATATTCTGCATGTTTAGTGTTTTAAATAATTTACTGAGTCTATTTTGTCAGCCCATCCGTTAATAAGCAAATATTGTTTTTAAAAATTAAAATTTATGTGATAGTCATTTATGTATATTGTATAGTTTACTGTAAGTTACGTATACAGAATGATTTTTTTTACTAAACTAATGAATTAAAGCCAACATTTAAACTTAGATAAAATCTACAAAATAAAGATTTCTATTATTACATTCTGCTAACATTTTATAATTATACAAAGTATGTCTAAGTTTCTTTGTATATTTCTATGTAATTAATATATTTTTTAGTTCAATCATTAAGAATAAAATGACAAACTTAATTTTTCCACAATTTCTGCTGCTATAAACCTTATAACCAAATTAGAAGTAGTATTATGATTAAATGTCAAATGCAATACATATTATTAAATATAAACATTATTTGCATAGACTTGGAGTGACTGGAAGGCAAACATTAAAAGTAAAGCCTCACAAATAAAAAAATCATCATTTCAAACAGGAGGTGGGCCTTCNTTTACATATCTACATGAAATGACTCCTGAGGAGTCGTTTTTGAATTTCTCTGCCTTTGTTGCCAAGAGAAACATCATCTCCAAGTCTGGATACTGTGTGTTCCATTTCTCCCATCATTCCATCATATAGCTCTATATTCTCATCGAGAGAAATTTTATGAACTATGCACATATTATGTAAAACAGCTCAGGCATTAATTATTAGTCCAGCCTTATAAGGTGAATAATTTAACACCCTGTGCTTGTGCAAACATCTGAATCGGGACTTTAGAAGTCCATTACATCTTTCTACAATAATTCTTGTTGATATTAAACTGCTATTATACTTTTGCTCATTTTGTTGCTGAGCATCTAATATAGGTGTCAGAAGCCATGGTTCCATTGGATAGCCACTATCACCTATAAAAAGAAATAAAACAATTTTGATAAATGAATTTTGCCATACTTTCATATATATATATATATATTATAGAGCTGTTCCAAAGGAAGTTAGTAAGAAAGTTAGTATGGAAGTTTTAAGAAATAATATTAACTATCAAGATATTATAAGAAGTCAAATAGGTCCACTATCGTTGAATTTAATAACAATTCTGCTAATTATGGCCGGAATAGAAAATAATCCCGGTCCTCTTCAACGTTCTCCCCCTCAGGCAAATCAAGTAACTACGCAAAAAAGGGGGCGAGGTAGACCTCGAAAGGATTATTCGCAAGATACGGAAGATAATAATCAGCTAGTAGAATTGTTAGGAGAAGACTATCTACCCGAAGAAGAAATGAGAGAAACTACGAGTGCTACGATAAACACTACCATTAAGGATTTTTTTGAGCCAATAGAAAACCTAGGAAATCTAAGTGATAATGAATCTAGTTACTCGTTAAAATCGATTTACGAATTGATTCAGGAGAAGTTTGATATTTTGACCCAGGAGATTCAAATAATGAAATCTGAAATCAGCAGTATTAAGGAAGAAAATGTCAAGATTAAAGACGAAATGAAGAACATTGGCCAAAAAATTCATACATTAGAAGAAAGGACTAATTCCTACACCAATTTAAAAGGTATGTTCGAATTTGAACTTGATAAAATACTAAACGGAAATACAAGAAAAAATCTAGTTATCATGAATTTTCCTTTTAAAACTTCTGAGGGTGTAGAAGAACTCAAACAATTTATAAATGAAGATTTGGGTTTAAATAATATTGAAATTGAGGGTTTAGTTCAGTTAAAAAATAATTCAAATAATCAAATGAAAAAAATTATAATGGAAACGGTCAAAGATAGAAATCTAATTCTTAAAAAATTCTGGCGAATGAGATCGAAAATGGATGACGAGAAGAAAAAAATAATAATAAAAACGGATTTATGTTATCGCTCCAGAATTAGAAGAAAGCTATTACTTCAAAAGATTAAGTCAGAATATCCAGAAGGTTATAGATATCGAGTAATAGACGACTACTATATTAAAGATAATTTAAAGTATACATACGATATAAATACAAGAGAGATCATATTAATTAATCATTTTTTAGGATTAACGACAAAACAAACTTAGATAAATTAATAGAAAAAACTAATATAAAGTACGGAAACTATGGAAGGAAAAAGCTGACGTTAAATAATAAGAATGAAGATAATTCGTCTATTATAAATAATAACTTTAAAACAATTGAGATAGATTGGTCTAATTATGAAAATAATAAAATGAAGATAAGTTTCTGGAATATCCAAGGATTAAGAGAAAAAATACACAATTCGTCGGTGAGAAAATTCCTAAACTCAAACGAAATCGTTGGAATTACAGAGACTTGGAGTCTCAACTTGAGTACGACTGAAATTAATTATTTAAAACAAGTGAATAATATCATAATGAGTAAGGCACTTCGTAAAAGTAAATTTGGTCGGCCATCAGGTGGTATCCTGTTGATAATTAAGAAGAAATTGGGTGTCATTCTTTGTCAGGATATTCTAAAATATTTTATAGTTGTTATAATAAAACTTAATAATGAAACTAAAGCTATATGGAATTACCCATATTTGGGTCTAGTAGTTATGTACCTTCCACCATTAATTGATAAAAAACTCATATTACAAGAAGTACAGTTTTATTTAAATAGATGGTTCTTTTTGGTCCAACTATGGCTGATCGGAGGAGATCTTAATGCACGTATTGGCGAAAACTCTGATACAAATGTCTTTCTGAACTACGATAATATTAACAACAGAAGACTATCGAAAGATAAAGTATTAAACACAGACGGTAAAATTCTCTTGGACTTTGTACAAAATAATCAGTTAATTATATTAAATGGTAGAATGAAAGGTGATGTGCCTGCAGAATACACGTTTATATCTCGAAACGGAAAGTCAACTATAGACTATATTATATGCTCAGAAGCTATGTTAGACCACTGTATGAATCTTACAGTTCTGGAAGATGATACTTCGGACCATTTTCCGATACAACTGATGCTAAGAAGTAACAAAATAAGAGAGATGCATAGTCAGGGTTTAAATAAGGAATATCGTCCAACATATAACAAACGAAAATGGTTAGAGGAGGTCGAGTCTGTAATAGTTGACCTAATAAATCTAGAAGAAGATAATGATCCTATAATAAACTATCAGAGGCTTATAACCAAATTAGAAGCCTTTAGATTTAAGAAATGTAGACGATTTTACAAGCAAAAATATAAGAATGAATGGTTTGATAACAATTGCTATACACATAAAATCAAAAAACAAAAGAGTTTACAAGCCTTTAGAAAAACCAACACAAAAGAAACACTTATAAAATACGTACAGAACAAGAAAACTTATAATAACTTAATCAAAGCAAAAAAGAAATTATACTTTTCAAATATTAGTAAGAAATTAATAGAAGCAAAAGATTCAAGAATATTTTGGAAGATAATCAATAATTTTCGAAAGAAAAAGTCGGAATATAATATACAAAGTAGAGAGTTCTGTCATTTTTTGTTGAAAGAAAACAAACATAAAAATGTATAGGAAATAACACAATTTATTCATCAAAATAACCACCCTACATTCAATAACCTGTTCCCAACAGGAAACAAGCTTATAAATTCCATTTTTATAAAAGTCACGATTTTTAGAGTTGAAAAACTTCCCTAATTCCGTTTCTATAACCTCTCTATTTCTAAACTGTCAATTTCGCAGATGATTATCTAGGCTTAAAAATAGGTGATAGTCAGAAGGGCTAATGTCAGGGAAATAAGGAGGGTGCAAAAGAGGTTCCCATCCAAGGGTCTGAATTGTGTCAGAGGTCACANCAAATGTATACATAGATTAAAAGACAAAACTACACCCGGATCAGATATGATCCCCAATTCACTTATCAAACTATTTCCAACAGAACTAATTCAGTATTTAACCAGAGTATTCAACAAATTATATACGCATAGTTTAATACCAGATAAATGGAATGAAATCATACTCACAATGATATTTAAACAAGGCAATCGAAACGATCCATCGAATTATAGACCAATCGCATTACTGTCGGGCTTCCGGAAAATATTTACAGCAATTTTAGCTGAAAAATTCAAGAGCTGGATTGAAAAAAATAACTATAGGAATCCAACACAATATGCATACGTAGAAAAAGGTGGTACGCAAACAGCTCTTTTTGTATTATTGACATTAATCCAACTACAATTGCTCAAGA